CCCTCCCTCCCTTCCTCCCTTCCTCCCTTCCTCCCACAAATATTATTAAAACAAATAAAGCACATGCTGTGTGAGATGGTGATAAGGGTTACCAACATGAAGCCGGGAGAGGGTGAAAAAAGGGTGCTCCTGTTGGGACTGCTAATTTAAATGAGAGCCAGGTGGGTCTGCTGACAAGTTGAATGGAAGAGGTGACTGAGGAGGCTTGAGCCTGTCTGCGGGAGGAGCCTGCCCAGGAGGGAAGAGCCAGTGCAAAGGCCGGGAAGCAGGACTGTGCTTGGTGTGTCTCAGGAAGGCCAGGGAGCAAGAGCAGGAAAGGGGGATGGTAGACACCAGGGGCCACACTGCGACTTGAGCCCTCCCATGGCTGGGAAAGAATATTCCTCCCCATGGGGCATATATGATTTAGGATCTGGTGTCTGGTTTACACTTGTGCCTCCTTTGAGCTCGGCTGGGGAGCTTCTATCTCTATAAAACAAGCCATTCTTGGAGTCTTCGGCATATTTAGCTTTCTGGCCCTGAAAACTCAAGGACCTGACTTAGGAACTTGGGGCTGCTTTATGGTGGTGTTCTTGGGGTGACCAACAACCCCAACCTCATCACCCCATGGATCTTCACAGATGTTTGAGATGTGCAGTCTGTACCACACACGTGAGCAGTCTTGGTTACCCACGGATGTGATGGCGATTCCGTGGACATGCAGGGCTGGGCTTTACATGTAGATAGGGTGTCGTGGGCAGAGAGTTGTCAGGACAAAGTCCATGTAGGGCACTAATGGACTTAGAGTGAGACAGATCTGAGCTCAGGTCACAGAATTGACACTAGCTGTGGAACCTTAAGAAAGTTAAGTTCTCTGAAGGTTTGTTTCTTTCATCTCAGAAAAGGTCCTTGTAAGAATGAAATACAACGAAAAGAGTGGCTGTGAGAATGAAGTGAAGTAATGCAGCCAGTGCAAGGGGCCAGTGCTCAGTCCCACCCTTTCCCCTCCCCTGCTCAGGGCCTCCTTTGCACTGCACGACTCAGCATTGCTGCTCACGCTGAGTCACACTAATCTTAATTAGTCATCGATTTGGGCGCACAGCTTCCAGCAATGCTGCGGACGTGGCCAGGCCGGCTCAGCAGAGGCTGGCACAGCCAGCAGCCCGCGTGTGCTGCGTTACCCTCTTCAGAGCTGTGGGGTGAGATGAAACAATGAGCGCAAAACACTCGGCACAGCGCTTGCCCACTCTCTGTCCTCATCAAATGTTGATTTTTATTACTTTTACTCTCTTGTGGTTTTGGAAAATTGTTATGGAAATGTATGTTGCATTCAGTATTTTACAAAATAGTAAAAAACAAAACAAAACTATGTGAGCAACAGTGGCTTGTTTTGTTGATAATGATGGTAAATTCAGTCTTTTTCTACCCTTGGATCTGAATATTAGGCATAGACTGGCTGCGAATTGAGCACTGTGATTGTTAGTTTTATGTGTCAACTTGGCTAGACTACCCAGTTAACCAATTAACCGTAATCTGGGCACTGCTGGGAAGGAACTCCAGTGAGCTAACCTTTCCGCCAGCTCATTAAGTAGAGATGATCCTCTGTGATGTGGGTGGGCCCGGGTGGGCCCGGATGGGCCCCACCCAGTCAGATGGGAGCCCTTAGAGCAAGACCGAGGCTTCCCTGAGGAAGAAGCTCTGCCTCAAGACTGCAGCATCAGCTCCCGACCCACAGACGCCAGCCTGCCGACCTGCCCGGCAGATCCCACACTGGCTGGCTGCAGTCAAATAGGCCAGTTCCTGGAAAAACATTTCTTTTTGCATGTATGTATGTGTATATGTATGCACATTTGTATACATGTGTGTATATGCATATACACATGCACATTTGTGTGTATGTATTCATGCATGTGTATGTCTGTATATATGTATACACATGTACACATTCACACCTGCATGCATGTGTAGTGTATGCATGTATGTGCATGTGTTTGTATGTGTGTATACATGTGCACACACATATACATGTGTACATGTGTGTGTATGTGTGTGTATAGCTCCTACCAGCTCTGTTTCTCTAGAGAGCCCTGATTGATACAGGTGCATACGAAGATTTATTTCTTCTTCTTTTTGTCAGTAATTCTTTTTTTTTTAAAAAAAAATGTTTTTATTGATTTCAGAGAGAGGAAGGGAGAGAGAAAGAGAAACATCAATGATGAGAGAGTCACTGATCAGCTGTCTCCTGCATGCCCCCTATTGGGGATCAAGCCCACAACCCGGGTACATGCCCAGACTGGGAATTGAACCCTGATCTCCTGGCTCATGGGTTGACACCAACCCATGAGCCATGCCGGCTGGGCTCTTGTCAGTAATTCTTATGATGCCTCATTTGCATGATGTAATTTTAATGAAATGAAACTTGAGCAGCTCCAAACTGCATAATCAATTTCTCTCAGCCTCACAATTTCTTTTTGGCTCAGCCAGTCAATCTGACCCCAGGATGGGAGGACCATCCCTCCATGGGTGGGGCCAGCATAGCCCACCTATGAGGTTCATGGGCACATCGCCTGGGTTCCAGGTGAGCATAGTATAAACATAATGCCAAGTGGATAATTTGTCTCTAAAATTGCAGATATATTGAGAGGTCACAGAGCGGAGCTGGGGTGTGCTCCTCCTGGGCATGCATTTGGCGCACGGCTGGGGCACTGACACGTTGTTGTCTAGTGAAAACATGTCTGTGTGGTGAGGCCGGCACTGCAGTTTCTAGAATGAATGAGGACACATCACCATGAAGAAAGGTACCACCAAGAGTGTGAATCTGCACTGACTGGTTGCTAGTCTGTCTGTGTTTACATGGACATAACCCTCCCTGAAAAGTGAGGTAAAAACCACGGCATCGCCTGAATTCGGCCCTGCTGCCTAAGCTTAGAATTTGGGTGGGTTCCCACTTCCATTTTCTTATTTAAAGCTACATTTCCCCTTTATTACCGTTCTTCATTATAATGCCTTCCTCACAGCACGGTCAGAATGTGAACAAAAACATCTCTTATCTCATTTCCAATTTACCATTTTCTTACCATACATCTTGTTATAACCAAGCAGCCTTTAGATGCACCTTGAGTCATATTTTTTCACTTTGTACCAATTTGGTTATCAGATACGTTAAGCAAGGGCAGGGGAAGTTGTTTCCAGAAAAGAAATCCACCAGGAACATAGCCCAGCATAACCTTGTAAGAACCAGCTTCCCCAGGAAGGCGCTGGGTGGTTGGTAAGACACCAGGACCTCCAAAAGATAGCTGATGGCCGAGAGGGCTGCTTGTAAGGTGGCAGCCACCTACGCCGTCCATGAGAGCTCAGGGTGGAGCAGGAAGGTACCTGCCCACAGGTAACAGCCACAGAGAAACAACCGCAGCCTCACGAAACGCCCCTCCGCATCGCCGCCCTGTGATTCTCGAATGCTCTGCCTTTTCAGCACTGCTTCCTAATTCTCACCTTCTTTTGCTTCTGCTCACCTCTGCGGCCTTCAGTGGGCTGCTCTGTTCACTCTTCCTTAATTTTCCCTGCACACTCATTCCTCCGCTGTGCCCCCGTCCTTCCTGCTGTGAGCCCCCTGTGCGTCTCGCCTCCTCTCCTCGCTCCATTTCACCTCTTTTTCATCTGACTCTTTGAATTCTTCGCTCTGTTCTTAATTCTCCTTCCCCTCACCGATCTCTCTGGCTTCCACGGTTGCACAGACGCTTTGAAATCACCCAGTGGCTGCCATGTCTCCCCTGAAGAGGGGCCCGAGACTACGGAAAACCAGCTCCGGAGGCCCAGCAGCCAGCTTCCAGGGCGGTGCCGCCCCTCCCCGGGGCTCCTGCCTGGGAGCTGGGAGCGGACGGCCGCCCGCCCCTCACGCCCGCAGGGACCCTCGGGGGCTCTCAGCCCTGAGGTCGCCCGGCAAGGTGCAGCTGAGCCCCGTGTAGACATTGGCTGCTACAATTTAAAAATTGCCGGTCACTGGGCAAAGCTTCCTCAACCAACTGAAACCAAGTACAGTGCTGCCTGGGTTTTCTAATGCGATCCGCTCCGGAAGACGGTTCGAGTTCTGGAATGTTCCAAAACCGAGGGATCAGCAGCCCACGGCTGGGCCGCAGGACCCTGCCCTCAGCCGAAGCCGGGTGGCATGTCTGACTTCCGAGGCGGGTTCGAAACCTGAAGCATTTGCTGCTGGGTTTACAGCATCCATGAACCGAAATGTTTGTCAACAGAGACATTCGAAAACCGAGGCACCGCTGCCGTGTTATTTTATAATGAGCGGGAGCACCTTTCTCCTCAGCGCGTTCATCCCCCGCCTCCTCTTTCACTATTTACCCACCGACCAAAGGACAGGAGCGGTTCCGGGAGAAGGGGAAGGAGCTGTGACCGGTCTCGGGCCCACTGGAGCAGAAGAAAGATCCTTACAGAGGGGAAAACGGTCGCAGAAGTGAAACCGATGGGTCCTTCAGGACTCTGTGATTTTGTCACCTGACATTAGGAAATACTGCACTCAGAGACTTCACTGTAGTCTCTTGCAACGTAAGTATGGGCCACACAGCATTCGAGCTTCTGAAATCTTTGCAGCTGGTAAATTTAGGTGTGAAATCGCTTTACCTTTCTGTGTTTCGGGGGAGCAGGAGTGCGCACCTCAGCGAGAAGCGGTGGCCGCGGCGTCCCCCTGCCGGGCCGGGGCACCTCTGTCAAGGATACTTGTGGTCGAAGCTGTACCACATTCGGAAGAGCCCAGCGCTCTCGGCTTTGGTTGTGCTTTTGTCCAAGTTATTTGCTTCCTGGAGACAGACAATTGAAAAAGACAATGAATACATGATCAACACAGAACGCTGACGTCTAATATCAACATCAGTGTGTGATATATGTATTGTCACTATAAAAATATATGTCAAAGCCAATTAAATTTAACTACGTTAAACACTTTCCAGGCCGGGGGGGAAAGCAGCTATCATGCAAATGAGCTCCGAGACCTTGCCCTGGACCAGACGCCCGCCCGCCCGGGTGTGAGTCAACATTTACTTTTCTTAGTAATTCCTATTTTAGTAAACAGCTGAGAAACACCACTTTAGACATCAAATAAAAATGATATTTCTGTCAGATTGCTGTTGTGGGAATTTTGCAGTGTAGTTCTGTCAAATCTGGATGGTATTTATTTATGACTTACCAGAAGGTCAAGACTACAGGGATTCTGGCAGCCTAATACTTTTTAAACGAGTTTTTATTTTGTTCTTTCGATAGATCACTACCAGTTGCTATGGTTAATTTTTTGAATCCTCCTGCTTTGGGACAGATGTTCCTATGGGAATCCTGTAATAACTGAATGCACTTGTCTCATTTTTTCCTTTTTTTCCAAAAGGGCCACAGTGAGGGGGAAGAAGGAATTAAGGTGCACGTTTATGTGAGAGCAGGGGTGAAAGCGTGAGAGAAAGAAAAAAGGTGAACAACTCCCGAGCACTTCAGGGAGAGGTGAGCATGACCACGCCGTGCAGCAAGGACACGCAGCGGCGTTTTTACTTCTTTTGCGTATCCCATTTCCCACATTAGGAGGACTCCGGGCTTCACTCGGTTATAATTCTCTCCGGCATTAAGGGCATTTATATCTTAACGTGAGCTTCACTGCTTTGTTTGTGCCCACGGTTTCCATCCCCAAATTGTTTCATGAATTCACAGTTCAGTAATAACATGAACATTTTCAAAAAATCATGACCCACGGAAGATAATGGCCATCCACCAGCTGCTCCAAAGCCAGCCCTCAGTGAATCCAAGTTCATTTCCTTCCATTTTATTTTGTTTATTTCCTGCTGATTCCCAGACAGTTTGATGGCCGGTTAATGATAAGTAGCTGGACACACAGGGCTGTGCTCTGCTCTGAGACATGAGGACCAGCAGGTGCTACAGTTCTACGCCTACAAGGAAAATGGGACACAAGAAAGCAAAACGTGGTTCGTTCCTGGTTACCATTTATCCTTTGTCTAAAATGGCTGAAGCAGAGACTCACAATAAAACTAAGATCAGATTTCAAACACTGCACAGTTTCCCAGACAGTGTTTCCCTGCCAGCCACTGCTCTACACGCCGGTGATGGGGATTCCGTGCCAGCCGCTCAGGAAAGAAAGGGTTCGGCTGCGTTTAACAGGCTTCTCACCTACAGGGCTCCTCAGCACCTTTCCTTTACAAACAAGCATCGGAAGACTGTAAGAGGAAAGTGCTCCTCAAAGTTGGCCCTGGAACCCATTTCCCGCCCCACCCCTATGGATGTTAGAGTCCCACAGATCTGCTTTCTTTTTAAAAAAATATCTTTATTGATTTCAGAGAGAGGAAGGGAGAGGGAGAGAGAGAGAGAAACATCAGTGATGAGAGAGTCATGGATCGGCTGCCTCCTGCTCGCCCCCCACTGGGGATCGAGCCCAAAACTCTGGCATGTGCCCTGACCGGGAATCGAACCCCAATCGCCTGGATCCTACGCCGATGCTCAACCGCTGAGCCACAAAGGCCAGGCTGTTTTCTTTTCTTTCTTTTTAAAATTTTTATTGATTTCAGAGAGAGGAAGGGAGAGGGAGAGAGAGAGAAACATCAGTGATGAGAAAGTCACGGATCGGCTGCCTCCTGCTCGCCCCCCACTGGGGATGGAGCCCGCACCCAAGCATGTGCCCTGACCGGGAATCAAGTTGCGATCTCCTGGATCCTACGAGAGCTCCTGGATCAAATGCTGAGCCACGCCAACCAGGCCACAAATCTGTTTTCTGACAGACCCAGAGGACTACCCCTTGTTACCTAGAGTTAGAATTTATTCATTACTCAGCATACTTCCCCAAAAGGAAAGCAAAGTGTCTGGTTCAATTTCCACCTGTCCCTGAACCTTTCTCCAGTTATTTCTACCTCAACAAAGGGGTCAGAGTTGCAAAACGGCTGCTGCACACCATGTCTCACCGTCTTGCATCATCCACAGGGTGTTGCCATCGCCCCAACAGATACTGCATGTTGGGGCTCAGCCGGCAGAGGCTCACCCTAAACTCAGCTGGTTTTAAACTCTAATACTCTGGGCCAAGAGTGAGAGCTCTCTCTTTCCCCCCTCTCTCTCTTTCCCTCTCTCTTTCCCCCTCTCTCTTTCCCCCTCTCTATTTCCCCCTCTTTCTCGCTCTCTCCCCTTCTCTTTAAGAACATAAGGGACTTATGGAATTTTATCCATCAACAAGCACATGTAATTTTTGATAGCTGATAATACCTACTGATGACAAGATAGTTATTGAAGAAAACTGACAGGAAGGAGTGTAAGCAAATTTGTTGGTTTTGGTTGTTCGTTTTTAAGTAACGATGGGCTGTGCGGGGGTGAGCTGGGCTGGCAGCCAAGGCCCGGAAGCCTGGCACCCAGTGAGCAGCAGCCGGGCTCAGGTCTGGTGCAGCTATGATAGTCCCCAGCAACTGAACGCTCACTAATTCCCAGGCAGCAAGCTGGTCACACTGTCCAGGCATTAACTTTTCCAGTCATTATTTCTCATTTTCACAATGATCCATCAAGGTAGGTCATGCTATACCTGTTTTGCAGGTGAGGACCTAGCAAAGCTCAGAGAAGGGAAGAGGTGAGCCCAGAGTCACACAGTTAGCAGGTGACAGAGCTGGAATTTGGAAGTGGGACTGCATGGTGTTCCTTCTGCTAGTACCTCACTGAGCCTTTAAACTTGGGAAAGCACGGCCATTGTTCAATAGGCTACTGGGGCTGCAGTATTATTTTCTGTGAAATGAACAGAAAAAATTGGACTGGCAGGTCGCTGAGGATGTAATCACATGAAAATACTGTAGTTTTAATAATGAAAACAGCAACAACAATGGCTAACACTTGTTGAACATACTGTGTGCCAGATGCTGCTCTAAGTGCTTCATATAAAAACTCTTAATTCTTATAACAATGTAATGAAGTATGTTCTACTATTATTCTCATTTTACAGATGAGGCACTGAGGCAAGTAGGGGCACAGAGAGGTTTCCAAGCACACTGTGGTCCCTCAGCAGCCAGATTCTTCTTGTCTAGATGGGGCCTCGGGGTGTAAGTGGGGAGCAAACTAGGTAAAAGAGGGATCTGGATAAGGAGCTGAGTCCAGGATCCCGGGTCCTCATGGAGGTGAGGTGGAGCAGCTTCATACACCCCAAGCGGACACCCATGGCCCCCCCGTGGTAGGAATGTTCCTACAGTCTTAGGTGCTGGACTCAGGGTTACCCAGGGCTCAGAAACCTTCCCTGCCTTTCTTTTCCCCTTCCCTCTCTTATTTTATTTCATTTTTATTATTTTATTTTATATTGTAATTTAACTTAATTTTTAGTTTATTTTTTATTTTATTATTTTATTTAATTTTATATTATTTTCTTGTATTTCTAAGGGGAATATGTCAGAACTCACAAACACCCCCAAAAGAGATTAGGCTCTATTTCTTGCAAAACTTCCAGGGTAGTATTTTTTCAGTTGATGAGAAAAACATATATGAGGCAGCATTTTGGAAAAATGGTAACACATGTAATCTTTTTTCAAAAGCTGTCTTACTTAGGAGTCTGGAGATGCTTTTCCTTTTACTACTTCGTAGAGAAATAAACTGGTTTCCAATTAGAATACCACACAAAACATGCTTCCCCAGGTGAGGGACACTCCACTGATGACGCAGCATCGACAGTCCTGCTCATCCTAGGAAGTTTTGAGTGTATTATCTTAAATATCTGTTGGCCCAGTTCTGGGTCCATTCGTTGATATCTCTGAAGTTACTGATGATTTAATAACTTGGTTATGAAAGGACATCAATAAACGACTAGAAATAAATGAGTTAGTCTCCTGTGTGCCCTGCTGTGCACTGGAGGTTGAAGGTAAACGTTTGGAGGGAATGCCCACGTCGCCCCGCGGGCCCCAACCTGCTGAGGAGGCACAGCGGGCAGTCCGGGAGGGCCAGCGGGCAGGGGACAGCAGGAGCACCAGCTTACCCGGGTCATTCTGAGGCAGAGATCAGCTCACACCCCCAAGGACAGTGGGCCTGGGGGTCATCAGAATCAGAATCTGGAACTTGGGGGTATTTTCTTTATCACTAGAAAGGTTTCTTTTCTTTTGAGTCTCTTTATCCAAAGGGGAAGTAGTGTGCTGAAACAAACATAGGGCTCAGGCCTGAAGACCAAGACTTGAGATCTGACTCTGTGTTCACCACTGAGTAACAAAATGCCAGCTCTTCCCCATGTTTCACAGATGTCAGTGGGAACTGGACACTCAAGAGCATCAAATCTCAACTTTTCCTTGCCCGGGATACTTCTGGGAAGCAGTGTTTGATGGATGTGCAATTTCTGGCTGTTGATACCGTTCCCTTTTCTCCTCAAACATGAGAATAGACTGAACACAGTAGGGAGCGAGTAGCTGATTTTTCAGTGATCCCCTCACTCACTCTCAGCACCCCCAGGAGAGGGAAAGACAGAAAAATCCTGACAGTACTCTTTGTGGCTTATATGGACCCCTGAGAGAAAACAAAAGTCTCCAGCAAGAAATCTGTGAAAACCAGACACTGAAACAAGAAGGAATGGCTTGTTGTATTAACATTGATGAAAAACATCTAAGCAGATGTAAATATGTTCCTCTATCAATATTCACATGTGGGCCTTTGAGAAGCGAGCTGGATGAACTCTGCTTGGGGGAATCCTATGGGATCTCTCCTCATCTCAGGAGGATCCAATGGACTAAGAGTGAGAACAGATTTTCCTTTTGATTTCTCAAGATTTCACATTCAACGTTAATGTCAATGAGAGCTTCACAGA